AGAAGGGAGAGGATGAGAATTGAGACCCTTGCCATGCGACACGTACCTCTGGTCCAGCGGTCATTCATTTGGCCATACTCCTCCTGAAGACTGTCCCCAATGTACCGCAACCTCTCCCCACACACCCGATACATATCCTCGTTACCCGCCATCATCGATACAAGAGGCTACACATGTCCTCGTCACCTCCTTCATCGGTAAAAGTCAACAAGGTTGTGTTTGGCGGCTTTATAGCTAATACACTTTAAATCTCGGGAAATCCCCAAACAATCGAATGAGCAAGAAACGGGCGAAACGATAACAAAGCCACGTGGTGTTCCCTTATATACAAACACGGTGCCTACGTCACGGGTAGACCTCTTCGTAATGGTTACCTAGCTGCCTTCCCAGAAGTCCAAAACATAAACAGTTCAGCGGCGATGCGCGTGTGGACACCGTACGACCATGCTGACATGTGATATCAGAAAACACATGGTCTGTGTACGTGACAGAATGCTACACTACTACAGACTAAGTACATATATTCTTACATCAACGGAGTGGAACAGACCACGCATATATATATATATAAACTGTTAAACTAAACATCTGAAAATTATGTGTATTGTAAACGACTATTAACTAACACGATTGTCACAGATTACATCGAGAGATAAACAGCCCGCTACTATCTCATAACGCGCATTGTGACTAACAAATCAGTATTGAGTTTCGTAAGAAATTAAAAATAGATAGCGAGCAGATATCTAAATCGATAAGAGTGCTTTTAAATATCCCTGTATGACACGTTATTGTAAAACGAGAGTGATTGTGATCAGATTAAGAACTATATTCAGTTCGGTGTCACAGTTCACTCGTTTTAGACTTACAAATACTCACATTGGTTCATCTTCATGAATCATTGCCTCCGTGCTTAAAAAGAATTATTTCCTGACTGTTTTTAAATAATTAGTATTCATGCTTACAATTTTTATATGAAGATAGATATTATGAGTAAGTATCATCAGCTTACACATTACAACACGTTGTAGCAGAGGATTGTTTTTCTTCCTCATATTAAATCAACTCGATAAATTTCTCGATCTCACCTCATCAGAGTATAGAGACAGGGAATATGAACTCAAGTTTGATTTTAAATACATTTGTGGGTCTTACCTTTTAATTTACAACAAGATTATATATATCAGATGTTTATTAATAAAGGTAACATGTGTTAAATATTTCATCCTATTGAAATAACCAGATATATGAAAATAACGAAATTAATTGAATTATAAGGCTAGTGCATCAATCTAGATTTTGATATTTCTTTCGACCCCTTTCTTCAGTCGTCGACAAACTTCCGAATTCAGGTCTTTAACATTACTGAAGAGTCCTAGAAGGACGTAACAAGTGTATGATGACGTTTAATTCATTGTTTTGCTCTACTGTATCTAACGCTAAATATATGATAAAAGGTGTTATTCATTTGTATGCCTTTCGTAAAACCTTTGAAGATAACCTTCAAACATTAAATTAGATTTCAATACCCATTTATATCATGAAAATGGTCTTCCATTACTACTGAAAAGACAAATGCGATAATTTAGAAAATAAACATGTAATTAACGGGATGTCATTACGATGTTAAAATTATCTACATTTGACAGCCCTGTCGCATGAAAATGCATTAATTAAACAGAAACTTCGTAAAAGTGTTTTGTTGATTAGGGATAGCAGCTGTAATTATTGTTTAATCCAAAAAGCTAACCAATATCCTTAATAAACAGGGATTTAAACAACGAACAACAATAGTCGTACACAACTGAAAAGGAGGATCGCTCCAGGTGGAAACACCCTGGTGTATCCTTTGTCACCTAATATCATGTTTAATTACATTGATGAAGTGATTTCTGCTGTTGAAAATTTCCACATGCAGATTAAACCCATAGTTTAAAATTAGTAGTACTCTTTGTTTTGTGTTCTTTAACCAAGAGGCTTTTAGGAACATATGAATCAATATTTATTTATAGAAATGATGCAAACTATAAATCCGTGATATGCAAATTTGATTACAGGACTTATTTGGCTGATTAATGTAAAAAAAAAAGTACTGTTTACAAGCTGTGTATGGGTTACGAACTAAGCGTACTTCCTCGTGTGTATTCTGCGGTAATATGTTTATCGTAAAGTGTTTACGTTCCACGCGCACTCGCCATCCAGTAACAAAGAGGGTCTGAATTTACCTTTGTACCTGACGCAGGTGTGACATTTGAGTTGTGATTGATAAGTGTCAGGAGTAATTGGCTTAAGTTACAACGCAGTGAAGACTGTAGTCGTTTTTAGTAATGAAAGTCTCATGAAAACTTGACAATGGTAAAAAAATCAATATATTTCAGCGATGTGTATGCAACGGGTACAAATACATCACAATAAACGTATATTTCTATATATATATAGATAATGATTAAATGGACCGGAACGACAAAGGTATTTCATCGAAATAAACCTACCATGCGCAATGGGCGCGTGGCCATGAATCAGACTGTCATCATCGCACTTCAGCAGGTGCACTTCAGTGTTCTAACAACATATGTTCGTAAAGTTCACTGAACATTTGAAGGCACTTAATGCGAAATTGACTTTTGACACAAAGGAAAATGATTGTTATCGATACATACTTAACACCATATATCCGTTTTCGATATAGGAAAATATTAGTAATTATTTTGTCTGACAACTTTATCTCAGTTCCACAACAGTCAATATCTTGAAAATGTCATAAGGTATATGTATTGTTCTTGTTGTTCTCTCGTCGATGTCATTTAAATGTAAAATGTCTCGCAAATAAACAAATATTAAATAATGAAAAGATGTAAAGTTGAATCACAGACTTAAATATACACATATATGCATTAAGTGTGTGGTTGAACCGAAACGGAGTAAAAACAGAAGGAAAATCCTATCAAATCTTACTGAAGATGATGAAAGTAAGAAGAGGTAAAACACCAGTAATGTTCATTCAAGCGATGCAAAACTATAGACATATACTATAACAATGTAAACATTTTCAATGTTAACATTAAATTTAGCAATATCTTATCAGCATTAATTTACGTACAGTAAACTGACGTGATAGAATACATTTTATAAAACAGTCTTGGATGATAACACTTTCCCACAGTAGGCGTTGATTTCCTCTCTGGTGTCAGTTATACACCGTCAAGTATTTAATTGTATTGTATCTTATATTGCCACAGACTTCCAGTTTACTTGGTAACTGATATTGAACTATCTACAATCTGTAAAATCGACGTTTTTTTCCCAAATAATATTCCTATCTCCTAACTGTAGACGGGCTATCTGTACCTTTGCCGTAGTGGGTGATATTGACTGATGAGTGATATAGACACTGACTATACTATACCATAAGGTAGGACAAATACCAAGCGAACGTTAAATCTTTCTACCATGTCATTATAATATTATATCTAGAATGAACGTTGCCTCATGAAAACGACCATTATCATTTGTGGCTTGCCGATATCATTTCTATAACGTAATCGTGTTCTCCGTATATAACCTCTGATTACCTTATTCTCATTTAGGGAACATGACATTACTTACTTGAATCGATAAAGAGTTACATGGCGAGTGTTGTCGATGAAGCAGAAAACGCTTAATAAAGAAATTCAACACGTTTATCATACATTTTGATGGAAAGCTGTCTATGTTGGTTTTTGTTGTGAGAAAAGATTGAAATGAGCAGCTGTTGAAGAAGTCTGTCATGTCTATGATTTCCAAGTTTTGGGGTATATTCCATGGAGGTGGTTATTAAATTTCTTGTGATTTAAAGACGCAAACAATTTATCTGAAAGTGAAACCAAGTGACTTTGCGAATTCTTTGTGACCTGTTTTGATAAGTCATTGGATATATTATGCCTGGAATGAAAACGAGAACAAGTCAGCCAACAGATGGACACAGGGAACCCGTCAATAACTATTCGGCCATGCTTTTCATCGCTATTACCAAACAAGTCTTATGTCAATCAGCAGGTCAAAATTTTGCGTATATTAAACACACATTATTGCCTCCAGTTTAATTATGTAGAGTGTATCATGACATTTTAACGAAACAGTGGTCTCTGACCATCTCTTTACATCGATAGAAAGAAAATAAAACATAAGATTTTATCAAACAGACTTTTTATTCCGTGTATATATAGAAATATGTTTCTTAAACATATTTCATCTATGCTCAATTTACATCCTATATATATGTGAAATGTGGAATGGCGTTGCTTGGCGTAATTCTTACTGATAACACATGTCCACTATAAAACTTATCTGTGTATTGATATAATCAACATTAGAAGAAAGAAAGTCCCCCTGATTATTTCCTGATCACGTATTTGTGTTTAACACGCACATTATGAAAACAATATAAGCTTTCATTCTGTAGTGAATGGGATAAGAAATCTCATCTCAAAAGGTAAGATTCTTTAGTCGACGCACAACTCGATGCCAAGGGTTCAATCTGTGAGCACATTGGTGTATTTATTGTCATTGGAGCTACTAATGCCATGATGTATCATGCCGGTCCATGTTTTACGTCATAGATTGACAAATACGACACCGTATTCACACCAGTTACAGCCACGTTGTTGTGTGGACATAAAGTTTCAAATCTGACTATGAATAATACTAAGGCAAAACAAGACAGCCAGTCTGCTGATGCCAGAGACTTTGAAGCAACAAAATGACACATGTGCGTCTATAACGACGATCCTTCCAATTTGTTTTGTCACTCTAGATAAGACGAGACAATGATAAACCCATGGTGGGTTTATGTATCCAGTCGTTAAAGTCATCCTGCATTGATCTAGATGTACACCAATCGTTCTGTCCTTCGAGAAATAATCCTGTATTTAAGCTAACTACAAAGTAGTTATCACATTGGCGCAAACAAAGCATTTGGTCCGTCATTTATTTCAACACATCGATGTTATTTTTACAGCTGGTCAATCAAGCTTCCGGCACTGCAGCCATAGATATACTGGGTGTACTAGGGACGTCAGCACCAAACATACCAACACTATGTCCACCTGCAAATGTATTAGTTTACGTGTAGTTTAAAGTTGTTATACCATTTCTACAATACCAAATAACTCGAAAAGTCAGTAAGTTATAGAAGGCGTTCAATACCTTGTGGCTTACTATTTATCTATATATGTCATAAAAGTCATAGAGATAAGTATGATTATTTACAGGTACAGATCAAGGTGAAATAGAGTTCACACAATCACAAAAAAATGTCATCGAGGAACAGTTTATCTTCCTTTATCATTTCAAGGCGGTTTATTAAAAACAACGGTTCATATTTCAGCGATGTATTTCTTGTAAATTTCCCAAATTACTCAGAACCCCTAACCATGAACGACATACTGATAGATGAAGGGAGATAAATCTAAGATGTTTGGCTATACCCACAGAGTACATCTGTCCGTAACCTGATCCGAGTACTGGTAAGAGACACCATTACTTACGTGTAGGAATGCGCCGGTGTAGGACTCCGTCCAGTAAAACAGTATATACTGGAAAAAGCTAGCGATTCCAGTCAGGACCATCAGTATACCCGACAAGGAATTGAGATACTTACTAGGAAACCTGACAAAAAACAAAAACAGCAGATGACTGATTATCTTCATGGAATGTTAAAAGGATATGAGGACCGTTTTATTGTGTATCTGATTACAACGAAGTGTTCACGATACATCAACTTAGCACGTTAATACAGAATGCCATGGTGACATTGGAAAGACACACTCGATGAATAAGGTACATGGAAGAACCAAGATCTAAAAAAAATATTTTGGAAACATCGGGGTCCAAACGACACGCTCTAGGCAGGAAAATTATGTTTTGTATCGCGTGTGTCAACGGTCATTACATCTCCAAAAGTCAATGTTCAACTATTCATCTGGTAACGAATATGTTACAATGACAATAATAACAAAGAAACACAAGACGTGTCATCATGGCTACTGTAATTGTTTTTAAACCAACGCCACGACCGTGAAAAAATATGACATTTAAATGTCCGTGTGGAGAGTTTAACTGACATTGATGGTTCCTCGCTTTTGAATCTGTACAATGTTGTGAATGTATTCGCCCTCATGACAAGGAGATTGAATATCAAATCTTTTTCTAGCACATACATCTTCTACCTATATAGTTTCTAACACTGGTTTATCAACGTAAGCAATGGTAGAATAACCTATGATATATCGTCTTTTTCGAATTTTTCATGAGACATTTTGGCATGAAGCATTTCCTTTCCAGTGTGTCTTCAAGCCAACAATAACGATAAAAATAGTTTGAATAAGTTGTTTCTAAATCGTTGTAAAAATAAAATGCAAAGTTAAGTCTTAAAATGTCTGGGCGTGCTACCATATTAGGGTTTTCGCGTGCTTTTGAATGATCTTCAATTCTCTATCATTTCGACGATATAGAAATTGCTACTGTAAGGCTGAAAGAGAACAAGAAACAATTTAACCAGAATGTTCTATACGTACATTTCGCTAAGATATCCGTTTCCTATGGCATATAAAAATGATCGGAAAGCTGTGACAGAGATGAAGGATGCATAGATAGCTGCATCGGCTGATATCATTTGCATGACTGAAAGCAACACTCCTAAGGCCGTGCCTGCGATCAGAGGTATTACCGCAGGAGCAAGGTTTCGTTTTCGGGAACTTTTACTGTCTGATGAAAAAACATAACATTGAAGTGAATACAAGAACGTAACATTGGTTTACCTTTCATATTTAATACGCTCTCCAAACGAATATGACGGAATTCAATATTACACTTATGTGTTTTTTGTATTTAACGGTTCTTGGACCACTATTACGTCTACAGTAGGATTTATAAGGGTTGCTATAGAAAATAAATGCAGATATCTGATTGGTTAAAGTTAAAAGTCATCCTATTGCAATAAAATGTGATAAATAAATGTACAACCGACATAAGGACATCCTTCATAAGGATACTTTACGAGATGTTTGGTTCCCATTGTGATTATTTCTCCTGAGAGTTACATGATTTGTCATTTTACATGATTGTCAAAGAAAAATATAGGATTTATCCCTGCATCATTTATCACATTAACAGCAGCCATTGGTAAATATTTAAATTGCATTATCATATATTAACGTCGGTGTCTGCTGTTTTAAAGGTCAAAACAATACTCATTTAGTTTTCATGTAAACAATTAAAGTTTCATCCAGTTCACTTAAAGGGTTTATTTGATATTAAGAGTAGTTTGCGAAGAGGCCGTAGGAATGACGGGAATAATTCAGCAAAGCTTTACGAAATAAGATTCTGACTATCTCAATTATATTGTTGACGATGTCACATTATTTCAGTCGGCAATGAAAGGTTTGGTTCTTCTACACTCTTATTTTTAAATTAATTTATCTGATGCTACCTTTGTATATCCGCTTCTGCATCTCGAAGAATGAGCCAGCCGTGAATGATGTGATGATACCACCCAACATGAAATACATACTGGTGTTTGTGTAACTGCTCACTGAAATCAAATCAGCAATACTTATTTATTGATCATATAACTCATTTCATGGAAAAAAACCTAAACTTTCGAATGAATTTCTCTTATCTCGACGCGTTTTCACTACGAGGACAACTGTGTGACGTCATAAAGTCTTATTTATGATGTCACTATATTGTCAATACATGTGTCTTCGGATATTTATGACATGGCCGCACGACATGACTCAGCACGCTAGTTATGTGATAAAATTTGAACGATCAGATGCAAACATTTGTTTATTTTTTGCCCTAAATTACACCACTTCTCTCTCTCTCTCTCTCTCTCTCTCTCTCTCTCTCTCTCTCTCTCTCTCTCTCTCTGCCCTCCCCCCCCCTCTCTCTCTCTTTCTGTCTCTCTCTCTTTCCCTCTCTCTATGTCTCTCTCTCTCTCCCTCCCTCCCTCTCTCTGCCCCCTTCTCTCTCTGTTCGTGCACAACTATAGCCGTATAATTTACATACCTTCCTCCTCTGAATGGCTAACCCTTTCTAACCAGGGATTCAATGTACCCACAAAATAGAAGAACCTCAGCTGGAGAATGCTGTACCAGAACACGTGCAAGAGAAACACGTGAGAACACAGATGACCCTTAAGACTGAGAGAGGAATCCTTTGTCTTAGTTGTCGTTGTATTCATGGGAACGGTCACATCATCTGTTAAGAACAAATTTCGAGATCTAGAACAAAATTTGTGCCAAGCAATGATTCGATTAATAGTTTGTAACCCGACATATGGAACAATGTTTACAAAAATCAGATATCCAACAAATAACTAGCAATACGTTAATTTGTTAACAGCCTATTGTGTATCTATTATTTTCATAGATAATTGCATTTTGCACCTTGCTCTTCCATTTTTGTGCGGTCATTTTCCACACCATTTCTGTCTGCTAAATCTATCTTTTGCATTTCCTTCTCGTTTTCGTTCGTTGTCTCCTCTCCGTTAGACCCGACGAAAATGGTTTCATCTTTAATCTCAGGAAGTTGGATGTAAAACTTTGGGAGCCATAGAAACGTGCTGATGAACGCGACTAAATGTAAGCAAGCGATAAAAATGTAACAATGTTGTCTTTTGATGCCGTTGTCATACCCAATCTGACAATGTAAAATGAGAAATAGACATAAGTGATTGCAAAAGATGGTACTCATTTCAATTAGAACTAGTAAAGAACAAAATTACGTACAATTTCATAAATGTTGTACTTTAAAAATAAAGAACTACTTTAAAATGACAATTGCCCTATGGAGAGGCAAGGATGTGTAAACGAATAAACACTATGACGTTGTATGTGAAAGAGTGATAATGGATTGCTTACCTTGATATACAGCTGAGTGGCGATAGAAGAATCAAACGATCCAGTCATTAAACTACTCACTATTGAACGCCCGTTCTCGAACAGGTAGGACAACTGTAATGAAGAGTTGAACTCTTGAGATAAGTAGATAATGTTCGTTGAAATTAAATTATAAAGTTTCGTTGTATTCTCCAATCAACAGATAAATCGTTGTATAACGATAGTAAAATCTACTACTACTACAGGATCATGGTATACAAAATTGGTTTAATGATTTAGAGAATGCATCTCGTGGACAACTTTATACGACTTTCGAATGAGTAAGGTATAAAGATGGACAATCACTCTTCTGCATATGTTAGACTGAGTGTAACGTTGTTTGTGTAGCTGTGAGAGGAAGGTGAGTACATCTAAATGTTCATTAGCCTTAATCATTAGAATATTTATACACAGTAAAGAATGGTGTGTCTGTTTAAAGGAGTATGTACATGTAAAATGAAAGTATGGACTGTGTGAATGAAGAGTGGAGAATGAGAGCACTCTTGTGAGATGGCAAGTCGTGTAATGTAATGTATGTATCTTGGCAAATTTGTTTTTTTTTAATTCGAAAGCACATTCACGTTTGAGAAATATTGACTTGAACTAACTGAGAAACACAGGACAATTCATGTAAATTTCAAACTCCTTATATGAAATTTTCAACAGAAACATGTCGTTTGAGGGGTATTCAACGCAATGACAAAGTGTGTCCATTTTGATGCTAACGAAATTAGGAGACGAATACTATTATCTTTACAAATGTAATAATGTACAACTACTGTAACTCAGAAACAAGTTAATTTTATCTATCCTGCAACTGGTAGTGCCATTGTCGGAATACACCTTCAACCTATATTTTTTGCCGTATTCGGCAGTGATGGAAGACAACTGTATCTTAGCACGTGCGGTAATTCGACGGAATTACTTTCTGAATTTACTTTAAGAAATAAGTGAATTTATAAAATATCTAATTTTGTTTACGAAATCATCAGGCAAACTTCAGCGTAATGTCAATCAGCTTGAACAACAAAACAACTGAAGTTTTGATTGTCTGATTTTCAATGAGTCTTGCAGGATAAATAACCTACATGGCCAGTGTGTTAAAATGTAAGCCGTATTTTGGCTCGGGACAGAAAGACAAAAGTGGCTCGCCAGAGACTCACCTCTTCCTTCAGCCTCGCCAAAATACAGCTTATATTCTAAGACATTGACCATATATCCTCAATATCATTATTGTAAATATCCAAGTATCAATAAAATAAAGGGAATGTTGCCTACTTTTCAAAAACGTTCAATGGTAAACACATATGTAGATTTTGGAATAAGTTAAACTTCTCAGTGATATAACAATGGTGTTAATCTTTATCATAAAAAAAATTATATATATATTTCTTTATTTATCTCATATTGTAATCCTTCAGCATACATGTATTAATAAATAAAGTAAAACATCTATCAACCATATTAAATTACCATTATATACAGTTATCTTGTTACACACTTCTAGCAAGTCTAAGTGCTGAATAATAAAATCTGTATCAAAGATTGTTATGACAAAATTTGAACTTGTTACAATTCACCAGAGAAATGTTAACACGTAATATTTTCTATATTGAAAATAAGTGGATAATAGATTCTCAAAGAAGAAAAAGTGCTTTGTTCTTCGAGTAAACGCAAGACAGTCTACGTCTCAATTTTAGCTGTGTAATCATATTAACAAATATACCGGAAAATTGAATAACTAAAAAAATAAATTGGTCAAGACCATAATTACATGTAAATAAAAAATAAAAGAACACACATATGGTGTATCAGTATTACCTGTAAATTAGAAAATAAAAGGCTACATCCTGATATTCCGTACAGGAACAGTCCGATGAAGGCCAGCCAGGGCAGTTCTGTTAAATAGATATAAAAGAATTTATTATTAGAGAAAACAAAAAATAAAAAAGTTGATATGTTTTTCATAGTTTTCTTCGGGACAGGAAATATAGAAACATATATAAAAAGATTTTATTTCGGTCGTGGTCCGACATCCTAAACATGTGTTTGTAGTACGCCTGCACTGGTAGATACTCAGGTGGAACGTCTCTATTCTACATACAGATATATAATTCATATCTCAACAGGGATCTCGAATACTTATTTGGTACTAGGTTCTATTTAGCTACACCGTAGACAACAATTACGACCCTGAAGATGAATAGAACATGTAACGTGGCATAGATATACAAAGCAGAAACGACAAAAACCCTTCCTATATATGATCATATAATAATATTCCACAGTAAAAAGGATTGTACATTATTGTACTGACAATCCTACTATTACCGGGTATTGTAATAGTTGTCAGGTATATTCATATGATCTTGTGACACGTACCACCTACACAGTGTCGTGTTATACCTTCCACCTACCTGGTATTGTAATACAACTACAACCTACCTGGTGTTGTGATACATCTACATCTACCACGTACCCAGTGTTGTAATACACCTACCTGGTGTTGTGATACATCTACCACGTACCAAGTGTTGTAATACACCTACCTGGTGATGTAATACGCCTTCCACCTACCCGGTGTTGTGATGCACCTTCCACCTACCCGGTGTTGTGATGCACCTTCCACCTTCCTGGTGTTGTGATAAACATTCCACCTACCTGGTGTTGTGATACATCTAACATCTACCTGGTGTTGTGATACATCTAACATCCACCTGGTGTTGTGATACATTTAACATCTACCTGGTGTTGTGATACTTCTAACATCTACCTGGTGTTGTGATACACATGCCATCTACCTGGTGTTGTGATACATCGAACATCTACCTGGTGTTGTGATACATCTAACACCTACCTGGTGTTGTGATAATCTAACATCTACCTCGTGTTGTGATACATCTAACATCTACGTGGTGTTGTGATACATCTAACACCTACCTGGTGTTCTGATACATCCAACACCTACCCGGTGTTGTGGTACATCGAACATCTGCGTGGTGTTGTGATACATCTAACACCTACCTGGTGTTGTGATACATCAACATCTACCTGGTGGTGTGATACATCTAACACCTACCGGGTGTTGTGATACATCTAACAACTACCTGGTGTTGTGATACACATGCCATCTACCTGGTGTTGTGATACATCGAACATCTACCTGGTGTTGTGATACATCTAACGTCTACCTGGTGTTGTGATACATCTAACAACTACCTGGTGTTGTGATACACATTCCATCTACCTGGTCTTATGATACATGTACAGTTGTGGTAACGCTCAAAGCACCAAAATCTTCGTTGGCATATCATGCATGCATCGTGTGCACGCATGCACTTTGCAGTATCATGCACACAACTTTGCGAAAGGATAACACATTTTTGCGCGGTTAAATAGAAATGGTTGGCTGTTATTACGGATTGAAAAGTAAACGAAATGTTGACTAAATAGAGATCACAGGAATATTAATTTTCTTCGGTGATTATCAAAGTCATTTTCAATTAGAAAGTTATCGAAATAACACTGGACCCTGCAGACAACAAAATTTACCTTAGAATGCGTGTGCGTGACAGGTCCGGAATCGTACCGGCTACGTCGGATACACCTTCACACTTTACAAGGTGTTGTGTACACCTTCACACTGTACAATGTGTTGTGGTACACCTACCTGTTCTCGGATACACCTTCACATTGTAAAAAGTGTTGTGATACACCTACACACTGTACAAAGTGTTGTGATACACCAACACGCTGTACAAAGTCTTGTGATACACCTACTTATTTTCAGATACACCTACACACTGTACAAAGTGTTGTGATACACCAACACGCTGTACAAAGTGTTGTGATACACCTACACGCTGTACAAAGTGTTGTGATACACCTTCACACTGTACAAAGAGTTGTGATACACCTACACACTGTACAAAGTGTTGTGATACACCTACACACTGTACAAAGAGTTGTGATACACCTACACGCTGTACAAAGTGTTGTGATACACCTACACGCTGTACAAAGTGTTGTGATACACCTTCACACTGTACAAAGAGTTGTGATACACCTACACACTGTACAAAGTGTTGTGATACACCTACACACTGTACAAAGAGTTGTGATACACCTACACGCTGTACAAAGTGTTGTGATATACCTACACGCTGTACAAAGTGTCGTGATACACCTTCACACTGTACAAAGTGTTGTGATACACCTCCAAACTTTACAAAGTGTTGTGATACACCCACTTATTTTCAGATACACCTACACACAGTACAAAGTGTTGTGATACACCAACACGCTGTACAAAGTGTTGTGATACACCTACACGCTGTACAAAGTGTTGTGATACACCTTCACACTGTACAAAGAGTTGTGATACACCTACACACTGTACAAAAGTGTTGTGATACACCTACACACTGTACAAAGAGTTGTGATACACCTACACGCTGTACAAAGTGTTGTGATACACCTACACGCTGTACAAAGTGTTGTGATACACCTTCACACTGTACAAAGTGTTGTGATACACCTCCAAACTGTACAAAGTGTTGTGATACACCTACACATTGTACAAAGTGTTGTGATACACCTTCACACTGTACAAAGTGTTGTGATACACCTCCAAACTTTACAAAGTGTTGTGATACACCTACACGCTGTACAAAGTGTTGTGGTACACCTACACGCTGTACAAAGTGTCGTGATACACCTTATTGGTGTTATAATGTACCTATCTGATATTGTGATACAGTTACATGTACATTGGCGTGTACCTAGCTATAGTCGGATACGCTTACCTGATGTCAGATACACCTACTAAAAGTAGTGATACATTCTCCTACTGTCAGAAAAGCCTACCGATAGTTATGACACATCTACCTACTGCCAAATACAAAGAGCTATAGGTACACTTAGTTGTAATTGTGAAACACCTACATGTCGTCAAAAACACTTACCTTGTGTTCTGACCTATGTTGTGATAACCTACCTGGTGTTGTAAAGGCAACAAAAAACGAACCGGAAGTGAAACTTAATCTGGAACAAGGAAAAAGACGAAACATCGGTCAAAGCCTAATAACAAGTCAGGCAAACATTTACAAATTGGAATTACCGATTCACATTGTATTGATAAATTCAAGAATGCAATATTACATTAGATTCGGGTTTGATAGTGGTGTCAATCAAATAACAGAAATAGGTACCGACATGTCTTAGAGACCAGTAATTACATTAGACCGTTCGGAGAACATTGGCACAATTTTCCATTACTTACATACTACTGATTCTGAGGAAGCGAGTTCCTTTCTTGTGACCGAGTTGTCCTAATATGCCGAAGAAGAACGGCCAGAGACCACTGACAATCGTAAAACCCAAATTGAATTTCTTGTCTTGGTCCGGACATCCAATTTCTCTCCTAAACCCTTTGATGCTATGTGCGTTTGTGTCGTTATTCTGTAATTCTGCTGTAACATTTTTACTTAAGGCGTCATATTCAACGAAAGCAGGGGCACTATATGAGGTCATATTTGTGTCGGTTCCGATTCCGAACTCTGCCATCTTGTCCCCTGGTTCATTTGCCTCAATATCACAAAGATCACCGTATACGCCGTCCTCCTTGAGTATGAAAACTAGTGTACCCCATCCGAAGAAAAGTCCAGCGAACAGAAATATCTCCAGAAGGGCCCACACGATGGCAAATATCTTCTTGGGTCGTGTGTCTAATGCTATTATAGACATTCTGGACACAGAGAAAAAAACCTTTCCTGAATGAATGCTTGTTAGTGAGTAAATAATCCAAAAAACTCCGCGTTCGTCTTATAACCTCCTAACGCTGTTTAAAACCATCTAGTACGAATACAATGGAAGTTTATCAATAAATGTCTCATTGTTTGCTCAAGTGACATATATACACCTTGTTGGTCAGCATTGGCTCTTATCAAATCAATTGCATGAAATTACACAAGTTTACTTCACTGGGAACAGAGAGGAGTCCAGTATAAAGCCGTCTGAACAAAGAAACTCAGAATGAAAGCCTATCTGTTATATAAAAGACCACGTTTTATGTCAACAACACGTGGACGTTACTGACTCGGAACATACGCACTAACATAGAAATACTCCAGGCGTTTTACAACAAGTATAATAGATACTCCTTGTTTATCTTACTTTTAATTTATACTACTGACCTTAAGAGAAATAAGCAAAATGTATTGTGAACAAGATGTATCGTCGTTTAAACTGTTCTACCAGCACTGTTCTAATGGAAAGACGCCCCCTCCGCTCACAGATGTTACACTGGGCGGGTAAGGTAGCGCTAGATATAGAGACGACAACTTAAGTATGCGGGCGACACACATCGTTAGGAACATGTGGTAGAATGGAAATTGTTCACCTTGAAGAAATCCACTATACCCTTTATAGTTAAACAGAACAGGAAGATTTTTTTAAAACGAAAATGTATATACATCTATATAAGATAACACGGTAGATATATATAGCTATGAAAGCCTTCGAAGCTATTATTAAATGCAACCATTAACTAGAGTTACATAAATTATATAATTAGCATACGCTCTGACTACCTTTAAATAGATTTTACCTTGGTGAACTGACGTTCTATTCTTTGAAAACTAATTCAAGATGCAAGTACATGTATTTTATGAGGTGCTACTTTTTTGTGTCCTGGCATAAATAAACGCGTATGCAACATATATACCTGGCAGGTTATAGAGATATTAGATTTCTTGCCTCGGTGCATGATCACTTTTTTACAAGCGAATGTAAAAACTAATTATAACCTGACATAGATATGTGCCTGTGCCTAATCAATACAAATTAGATCAGGTGAGAACAATATGCATCATGTAACACATATAGGATGTGGAGTCACCGTACCTTAGTCCATTGTGACATAAAAATGCCTTCCAGACAGGTAACCTTGCAGGATAACGACCATTTAAAAACTTTTAATCCCTGATGTGTGGCATGATGTGGCCGCGTCCTTGAAAGGTAAAGGCGTGTACAATCACGAAACACATTGAATTGAAGACATATGTGAATGTGTTACGTGTGTAGTGTCGCCGATCTACAGCGTAATGCAATTAAAGTGGCTACGTTTCACAAGACTTTACAAAAGACGTATAGGTAAATTGTCAACAAGGCGATTTGTTATCTTTAAAATCCTTCGAATTTTAATCGTGTTATCAAATGATAGACCATCAGTTGAGAAATAAAATCATCAGAAAGCCTGATCTGCTGATAGACAAATATAACAGCAAATAACCAGGTTCTGATCAATAGAAATACTAGTAAATAATTTAAATAATTCGTTCCATTAGCGATGAGATGATATTCACTCGAGGTGACAAATGAATTATTCAAAAACACAAGGGCAACATAATAGCACTCTCACAAGCGAGGAAGAAAATTATCAATTTTCTCTCTCCCTACGCGCAATACTGTTGTCATCTAATACTTAAATTGTCGCTGTGCGTTAAAGACTTTTTTATTCATTCATCACTTACCATCTATAATATAAGGTCAAGGTCACTATCTGTTGTTCAACTTGACCAGAATCGCTGACGATTACCTTATTTTATCAACAGACCAGAGTCACTGATGACTACCTTACTTTATCAACAGACCAGAGTCACTGAAGATTACCTTACTTTATCAACAGACCAGAGTCACTGATGACTACCTTACTTTATCAACAGACCAGAGTCACTGAATATTACCTTACTTTATCAACAGACCAGAGTCATATAGTCACTGATGACTACCTTACTTTATCAACAGACCAGAGTCACTGAATATTACCTTACTTTATCAACAGACCAGAGTCATTGAAGATTACCTTACTTTATCAACAGACCAGAATCACAGAGTCACTGATGACTACCTTACTTTATCAACAGACCAGAGTCACTGAAGATTACCTTACTTTATCAACAGACCAGAGTCATTGAAGATTACCTTACTTTATCAACAGACCAGAGTCACTGATGTCTAGCTTACTTTATCAACAGACCAGAGTCATTGAAGATTACCTTACTTTATCAACAGACCAGAGTCACTGATGTCTAGCTTCCTTTATCAACAGACCATAGTAACAGAATCACGGACGATTACCTTACTTTTTCAACAGACTAGAGTCACTGAAGATTACCTTACTTTATCAACAGACCAGAGTCACTGAAGATTACCTTACTTTATCAACAGACCAGAATCACTGAAGATTACCTTACTTTTTCAACAGACCAGAGTCACTGATGACTACCTTACTTTATCAACAGACCAGAATCACTGATGACTACCTTACTTTTTCAACAGACCAGAGTCACTGAAGATTACCTTACTTTATCAACAGACCAGAGTCATAGAGTCACTGATGACTACCTTACTTTTTCAACAGACCAGAGTCACTGAAGATTACCTTACTTTATCAACAGACCAGAGTCATAGAGTCACTGATGACTACCTTACTTTTTCAACAGACCAGAGTCACTGAAGATTACCTTACTTTATCAACAGACCAGAGTCATAGAGTCACTGATGACTACCTTACTTTATCAACAGACCCAGAGTCTGATGACTGAAGATTACCTTACTTTTTCAACAGACCAGAGTCACTGATGACTACCTTACTTTATCAACAGACCAGAGTCACTGATGACTACCTTACTTTATCAACAGACCATAGTAACAGAATCACGGACGATTACCTTACTTTTTCAACAGACCAGAGTCACTGAAGATTACCTTACTTTATCAACAGACCAGAGTCACTGAAGATTACCTTACTTTATCAACAGACCAGAGTCACTGAAGATTACCTTACTTTATCAACAGACCAGAGTCACTGATGACTACCTTACTTTATCAACAGACCAGAGTCACTGAAGATTACCTTACTTTATCAACAGACCAGAGTCATAGAGTCACTGAAGATTACCTTACTTTATCAACAGACCAGAGTCACTGAAGATTACCTTACTTGTAGTGTCAGATGATCAATGTATCTGGTCTGTTTGTAGTGTCAGATGATCAATGTATCTGGTCTGATTGTAGTGTCAGAGGATGGTCAATGTATCTGTTCTGTCTGTAGTGTCAGATGATCAATGTATCTGGTCTGATTTTTAGTGTCAGAGGATGATCAATGTATCTGTTCTGTCTGTAGTGTCAGAGGATGATCAATGTATCTGTTCTGTCTGTAGTGTCAGAGGATGGTCAATGTATCTGTTCTGTCTGTAGTGTCAGATGATCAATGTATCTGGTCTGATTTTTAGTGTCAGAGGATGATCAATGTATCTGGTCTGATTGTAGTGTCAGAGGATGGTCAATGTATCTGTTCTGTCTGTAGTGTCAGAGGATGATCAATGTATCTGTTCTGTCTGTAGTGTCAGAGGATGATCAATGTATCTGTTCTGTCTGTAGTGTCAGAGGATGATCAATGTATCTGGTCTGTTTGTAGTGTCAGAGGATGATCAATGTATCTGTTCTGATTGTAGTGTCAGAGGATGATCAATGTATCTGTTCTGTTTGTAGTGTCAGAGGATGATCAATGTATCTGGTCTGTCTGTAATGTCAGAGGATGATCAATGTATTTGATCTGTTAGTAGTGTCAGAGGTTGATCAATGTATCTGGTCTTTTTGTAGTGTCAGAGATTGATCAATGTATCTGGTCTGTTTGTAGTGTCAGATGATCAATGTATCTGGTCTGTTTGTAGTGTCAGAGGATGATCAATGTATCTGTTCTGTCTGTAGTGTCAGATGATGATCAATGTATCTGGTCTGTCTGTAATGTCAGAGGATGATCAATGTATTTGATCTGTTAGTAGTGTCAGAGGTTGATCAATGTATCTGGTCTTTTTGTAGTGTCAGAGATTGATCAATGTATCTGGTCTTTTTGTAGTGTCAGAGGAGTTTATCATAGTTCTTGCATACTTATAGTTTAGAAAAGCTTGTGGCATGATAAACACATTGGATTTCTCCTAGTTCAGTATAACCACAAACATTTTCCTCTCAAGTATCCTACATCCGTTTTGGTTTTGATACTATGTTGTGTTGATGACTGGCATACCATAAAGTTTAATTTTGTAATTGGCTGAGATCTTGACAAGTACTTAACATTGTTAAATAGACATATTTTTATAGTGTACTGTGTTACTGAAACCGCCATACCATTAGAGTTGTCATTGCTGGTGGTAAATATATATCGTCACATCAACAGAGTTGCCATTGGAGCTGGTAAGTTTGCGTCAGCACATCACCAGAGTTGTCATTGCCGGTGGTAATTATCGTAACCACCTCACCAGTGTTGTCATTGCCAGTGGTAAGTTTGCCATTTAACTACAATAGTACAACAGACAACCAATGTGCTATATCTGTATTATTACTTCACAAGCTTTGCCATCTATTCCAGATTTCGGCTGTGTCTGTTGCTGGTTTTCTCTATAGAATAAGAGTATGTTTTTGCTCAATACAACCGAATCGCTAATTTATTTTTCTTAAGATGTTCTTGGTTGTTAAGATGAATATTATATTAGCTTCTTTCGTTTTATTTTCCAAAATGTCACTTATAATTATATCAGCTGTTGTTATATAAAAAAAATACCGAATCCTTCTTCGATGTTAACGTTACGTCATGTACAAGATCACCCAAAAATCCACCCGTTACTTTCCTATCAAAGAAGCTAATGACTAGGGGCTTAGATGACAGATGTACACCTTGAATAAATTAATCTAGAGACTTGGATATCAAATTCAAGTAAAAATCAATAGGAAAGATTAATTAATTTATTTTCTTAACTCCCAGTGTTCATTTGATCACAGAGACCTCAAAATCTGTATTATGATGAAATTTATTTGGTTGTACTGTCCTATATTGATTCAAATTTTGTTCTCATTGACTAAGTGTATTTTTTACTTTTGTTTGACATTAACAAGGAGGCGTGGAAAGATTTGCTATGGAGACGGCTTTGCACTGTGTGGTCTTACTGTTGTTCTTGGGTGTACAGACCAGTCGAGGTAGGCATGGCATCGTCTTATATTTGAATTTCTTCTCAAGTT